GATAACCATTGAGACTTTTAGCGTCTAGTTACTCCCTTTGTCATGGATCCTTGCAGACAACTCGTGTCTGCGAATTCTCAGGGCTATCTTAGAAACGCATTTTAAAGCCCATCTCTGTGGAAATTTGAATTACGTGAGGCTGATATTCAAGTAGAAATACTGATTATCCATCCTGGATGCCTCGACTTTCTTTTGTCTTGTAATTATTGGTTTAAAACACAATGGTTTATACCAAGACATCCTCAAGACCTTCGTAAGACTTTGGATACTGCTGTCTGACTGGGCTTACAGCCATTGCCTCCAAGCGTGAACACCTTAAACCTTTGTTCCAGCAAAATGACTCAGGACTCCCTTAAATCTTTAATAGCCAATCACCAGTTAGGCAAATTTCAGAAAGGTTAAATTCAGCTAAATTAAAGTCACAGTCTCAAAACATGAAATAAACATTATATTTATAACAAAATGCATTAAAACGTTTTGTTTATTAGATGTCTGGGGGAAATGTTTATTGTGGCACCTCTAACATTATATGAACAGTTCATTCAACATTAACATTTATTTATGCTGCACATTTAATGTAGTAAAGCATCCCATCACATAAATGTCTGCTGATTGCCTCTTAAAAATTCTGAAGCAGAACTGATGGTACGAAAGAACAACCGAGAGATAAAAATAGAAATTGCTGGAAAAGCTCAGGAGATCTGGCAGCATCTGTAGAGAAAATAGAGTTAACGTTTTGGTTCGATTTCTCTCCACAGATGCTGCCAGACCTGCTGAGCTTTTCCAGCAATTTCTATTTTTGTTTCTGATTACAGCACTCACGGTTCTTTCAGTTTTTAACAACCGAGAGATAGCAATTAGGGTTACGTGGTGCTGAATGTAAAGCAAACATCAGCAAATGTCCCTACTTCAGATGTTATGCTGAAGGGAAGGCTATTGTTAAACAGCAGAATATACTTGGGCTTTGGACCTTACCCTGAGGACCTCCTGTAGAGATGCAAATAAGTCAACTTCAATAACCACAACTATTTTCCATTGTTCTGGGTCTGACTCCAACTGGCGAAGAGTTTTGCCTGATTCCCTTTGATTTAAGCTTTTCTAGGGCTTCTTGATGCTGTTCCTAGTCAAATAATGCTTCAATGTCAAGGATAACCACTCTCACTTCACTTCTGGAGTTCAGCTGTTTCATTCATGTTTGAACCAAAGCTGTATTGAGGTCTGAAAATGAACATTGGTGAATAGGTTATTCCATCTCATTGTTAATGATTGGGACTGGACTCATAGGGCACTAATTGACCAGATTGACTTTGTACTGCTTTTGTGGACCAGACATATCTGGGCAATTTTCCACATTGCCAGTGTTGTAACTGTACTGAAACTGCTTGACTGTAAGCACAGCTAGTTCTGGAGCAGATATCTTCATTATTATTACCAAAATGTAGATAAACACAGTCTTTTCAGTATCTGGTGCCATCAGCCATTTCTTGGTATCATGTGGAGTATATAAAATTGAGTGAAGGTAAGAAATTTAAGATAAAGAGCAGAAGGTTTAGAGGAAATGTGAAGAAAAACTTTTTCAACCAGATGGAAGTGGGAATCTAGAACTCGCTGTCTGTAAAAATGGTAGAGGTAGAAAGTCTCCTAACATTTAAGAAATATTTAGGTGTGCACTTGCAATCCCAAGGTATCCGGGCTTTAGGCCCAGTGTTGGAAAATGGGATTAAAATAATTAGGTAGTTGTTTTCGACTGGTGCAGCACGTTAGGCTGAAGGGTCTTGTTCTGTGCTGTAGATCTCTGACTCGAAGACTGACATCTTGTTGTTAGGGAACTCAAAGGGGGCAAAGTTGGATTATTCACCACGAATGTGCATATTGTGGCCTGCTCAATACAGCTGATTGGTCATAACAATTGCCTTAACACTGGGGATGTGGGCTTGAGAGAAGCCACTTATATTGGACCACTGATCCTGTCCTGATTTGCAGGACTTTGCAGTAGCACTGGTGGTGATATTTCTTTAGGGATTGGAAGTATCTTCTGTACATTGTCCATGTCTCCAATTCATATGGCAGGGCTAGCATTGCTGTCCATGAGCTTGGTGTTGGATTTGAGATCTTTCAATCTAATCCTGTGTTCCTCAGATGACCAAAGGCTGCGTGGGCAGATTGCAGGTGGTGTAGAATTGCTTTGTCAATGCCTGCCCTGTCTGACAGGAGGCTCCCAAGGTATGGGAGCTAATCCATATTGTTCATATTCAGCAAGATGGGGGCAGGGTATGTCACTCCATTCAGAGCTCCACTCTGCTTGCCAGTTCTTTTTCCTTTCTTTCTTTGTCCATTTTTTCCCCCTTCTTCTCTCTCCCTCTATAGTAATTCTATCCTCCCACCCACCCCTTTTAACTACCTACCTAAGGAGTTGGGAAGGAGCTGGGTTGCGACCAAGAACCACGTGGCGGGAGCTGAATGCGCGGATTGTGTCCTGCAGCGACAGCGGATTGAGCATGGGCCAGAGCAACGGCGGCAGATCAGGAGTGGGCTATAGTAGGCCAGTGAGGCAGCCCAGAGTGGGACGCTGGCAGAGGCATCACAAGGGCTGGAAAGCCCACAACGGGACCGCAACAGTAGAAAGGAAAGTTGGACTCTCTTAAGTTATCTTACTCTAAGTTAGTATGAATGGTATCATGTATGTACACGAAGGTACACACTTTTCACTTTTTCTTTAAACATTGAATACACGTGACAATAAATGATTCAATTCAATGGCTGACTGTGCATCTGGGTAGACAGGCAATTGTGTTACAGAATGGGAGCAGGCTAGGAGAGCACTTTTGTCTTCCAGATGTTTAACCTAACACCCATTCCCTCATAAGCATCAACTTTTGTTTGAACCGAGGCCTGTGGGTGTGCACGCACACGCACACAGCATTCTGCTGCTCGGTGACAGAGGTTGGGTGGTCTTGGTTCTAGACTGGTGGCAATGGAGGTTGAACAGTTTCCTGCTTGTCCAGTCAATTAACCATACCAGTGGAAAAGCACATCAATATCAGTTGGAAGATGGAAAAATGTGTTGTTTAGTGACACAGCTTGTCTTGACATCAGTTTGCATGCATATTGGATATGTGGTAGATCCACTGGTGAGAATCTCAGCTTGCAGCTGCCATGCACCAGGTGGCTGACAGTGATGGAATTTCTGCAGACAACCAACTTCGAGAAGGATGCATCACAGTCCATTCTGGTTGACAAATGTCAAAGACCAGTTTGGAGTTGAAGAAGGCATTTTAGCAGTTGTTGCTGCTATCTGCACTTTTTTTGAATTTTTCAGTCTTGTCAGCATTTACAACCCTTTAAGTGTGTTCTGTGATGTTACTAACTGTGACAGCAATTTATCTTCTAATGCAAATTTTTCTATCTGTAATTAATTTAATTCCTTTACTTCCAGAGTATGTACTTCCCTTTTCAACGTTTCCCTATCTGTCTTATCAATTCTTTTATTATTTTAACATCAAATCATTCCTTAATCTCACCATCTCAAGGAAATATAAGCCAAGTTTATCCAATACATTAATATAACTAAGTCCTGAGACCGGTCAATCATGTAATGAACAATTGTTGATCTGATGCAGATGCCACATTTTGGAATAGAGACTTTATTGTCTGTTTTTTCCAATAAATGTTCTCAACTCTTCTATGCATATTGCCTTTAAATAATATTTCTAATAGTTGACCATTTGTTTAGTTGATGAGAATACTTGGAAATCAGAAATACGAAAATATTAAGTTCAATAAAAACTCAAAGTCAGGTATACAGAATGGAGCAAGTCTGAAATTAGTTTGTCATTAAATTTACATTAATTTATAAATGGGTTACATGGTAACTTGTGCATGCTGCAGTTAACTGCATAAGGTAATTTAATCACAACTCACATCTGTAGGTCTTGTTGTGATCAAATTGTCAGTCACATAGCATAGAAACAGGGCCTTCAACTCACCATGTCTATGCCAATCAACAAACACCAAACTATACTAATCCCATTTACCTGCACTTGGACCTTAGCCTCCAATGCCCTGGCATTTTAAGTGCTCATCCAAATGCCTCTTAAATGTTGCGAGAGTACCTGCCTTCAACACTTTGTCTGGCAGTGCATTCCATGTTTCTACACCTGTCTGAGTGAAAAAGTTTTTTTTTCTAATCTTTTCTAAACCACTTACTGCAATCCTTAAACTTGCGTCCACTGGTCTTAGACGCGTCTGCCATGGGAAAAAGATTGTCACAATCCACCCTGCCTATGCCTCTCCTAATTTTGTATACCTCAATCAGATCCCCACTGAGCCTCTTCTGCTCCAATGAAAACAAACCCAGCCTATCCAGTCTCGCCTCACAACTGAGAGTTTTCATTTCAGGCAACACCCTGGTGAGTCTCCTCTCCAGTGCAGTCACGTCCTTCCGATAGTGTGGCAACCAGAATTGCACATAGTATTCCATCTGTGGCCTAGCCAATCATTTTATGAAGTTGTAATAAGAATTCCTTGCTTCTATATTCTAGCCCTGGCTAATGAAGACATGTATCCAGTATTTATACTGTATTAAAACATTGACTGCACTTCAAAAGCATTAAATAAAAAAAGAACTGCAGATGCTGGAAATCGGAAATCAGAAACAAAAACAGAAATTGCTGAAATGCTGCCAGGCATGCTGAGTTCTTCCAGCAATTTCTCTAATTGCTTCAAAAGCATTACCCTCACTCATGCATTTTGGGACATTGTAATGCCCTGAAAGGCATTATAGAAACATGTTCATTATTCTACCATTTAGTTTAAAATGTCTTACTTGGATACAAGGGTGATGACATTAGAAACTAGAGAGACATAACAGGGTGTAATAAGTCAGGATCAGTGCATAAGAGCCTTGAAAGAGTGGAAATAAATAAAAATGTTAAGATTTAATTTCATCACCATAATCACAAAATAATGGCTGTTAAATTCATTAGTATCTTATTTTTCAGAGCAGACCAAGGTCGCCTTCTAGACTACATAATAGAATGGGGGAATTTGACTGAAGAAAAGGTGACATCGTATCTCAGAGAAACTCTGGAAGCTGTACAGTATTTACACCACTGCAGAATAGCTCACCTAGATATAAAGGTTGGTGAGACCAGCTTACTCCAACAACTTTTTTTTTTTTTTAATTTCAGAATTTTTTTTACTGATACTACACTGACATATATTGCAAATATTAAAGATAACTACTGCTTTCACTTTGACTTTCTGTAACCTGCCAAATTTGTATATGACACTGTGGTTCTCTAATGTGCTGTGTTGTGGAACAGTAGTATGTAGGTGAACGTTCTAACCTTATTCTAAACCACTTTCTGTGACCACAATATGATAGGATTTTGCATTATAGTTTTAAATTTGTATAAGGGAACATATTAACATATGCATTAAGCATAAGGTGGCTAAGCTGGAAATAGGAAAATACATTAAAAGGCATGAATGTACATAGGCAATGGACAGTCTTTAAAGAACTATTACGTGACCTACAGCAACTAAACATTCCTTCAAAATGCTAAAACACAAGGTGAGTCAGTCATAGCTGATCAAGTTGAGGATAAGATTGTGTAAGATTAATCGAAAAGGCCTTTAAGTGGCCAGAAATACATCTGAGAATTGGTAAGTATTTAGAATGTTGCCAAGAAGGACAAAGATGAAACTGATAAAAAAGGAAGAATAGGATACAAATGCAATCAAGCAAGAGGAGCATAAAATGACTGTGAAAGATTCTATGGGTACATTAAAAAAGGAGACTAATATGAATGTAGGTCCACTAAACACAGAATCAAAAGAATTTATAATGGTTAATGGAGAAATGGAAGAGAGGCTAACTGGTTACTTTGTGTCTGCTGTTTCTAATTCTGGGAGATTTCTCACAAGTGCCTCAAAGATCCAACTGATTAGGGAGTATAAGGACTTGAAGGAAATATGCATCAGTAAGAAAGTTGTACTGGAGAAATTAATAAGTCTGAAAGTTGATAGCCTACATTCCAGACTGCTGAAGGAATTGGATATACAGATAGTCAGTGCATTGATAATTACCTTCATAAATTGGTAAATTTTGTAATGATTACTGTTGGTTGGAAGTTTGTAAATATCACCCACTATTTAAGAAAGGAACAAAGGAAAAAGCAGAAAACAACAAACCTGTCAGACTTATTGTAGGAAAATGCAATATTTGATCATAAATGATAAATAGACACTTGGATAAAAATAATCTGATTGGGCATAGTCAGCATGGATTTGTGAATGGAAAATTATGTTTGTTAAATTTGTCAAATTTTTTGAGGATGTTGCCAACAACATTGATAAAGCATAGTTGATAGATGTAATATATTTAGAATTTCAGAAGGCATTTGATAAGATCCCCCACAGGAGGCTGGTTAGCAAATTAAAGCACATGCTATGGGAGAAAATGTACATGCATGGATTAAGGATTGGCTAATGGATAGAAAACAGAGAGTGGAAATAAAGAAATAAATAAATTCTTACATTGGTACTGCAGGGTTCAGTGCTTGGGCCCCAGCTATTTGTGACGTATATCGTGACGTTGGGGTCCAAATGTAATATTTTGAAATTTGCAGATCATACAGAGCTAAGTGGGAATGTATTGTCAGGAAGATGTAAAACATTTTTAGGAGGATTTAGACAAGCTTACTGATTGCACAAGAACATAGCAGACAGAATATAATGTGTAAAAATGTGAGGTTATCCACTTTGGTAGGAAGAAAGATGTGCAGAGTTTTTCTTAAATGATGAGGGGTTGGAAGTTTACATACACACTTGGACCTGGGTGTCTTCACCAATAAGTCACTGAAAGTAAACATGCAGGTGCAGTAAAATACTAGGAAGACTAAAGGAATATTAGCCTTTAGTGCAAGAAGATTTGAGTATGGGAGTAATGAAGTTTTGCTTCAGTTGTTTAGAAGCTTGGTTAAAATACACCTGGAGCACTGTGTACAGTTTTGGTCTCCTTACCTCAGGAAAGATATCCATAGACAGAGTGCAACAAAGGTTCATCAGACTTGTTCCTGTGATGGTGGAACTGCCCTATGAAGAGAGATTGGGCAAACTGGGCCTGCATTCTCTGTAGTTTTGAAGAATAAGAGGTAATCTCCTTGAAATCTACAAAATACTTAAAAAGATAGATCAGGTAGGTGCAGATACAATATTACCCCTGATTAAGGAGTCTAGAATCAGGGGATACAATTTAAAAATTAGGGGGTGCTATTTAGGACTAAGAGGAGGAGATTTCTTTTTACATAGGTTTGTGAATTTTTCGAATTATCTGCCCCAGAGGGCTCTGGAAGTTCAGCCCTTAAGACTACCTGAAGTACAGGTTGATGAATTTTTGATTATCAATGGCGTAAGCAGTTATGGGGTATTGTGGGTTAAAAAGCATTAAAGTGTTCAATCAGCAATGATCATATTAAATGCAGAGTAGGCTGGACTGGCTGAATGGCCTATTGCTGCTTCTATGCAGTGTTAACCTGGGTCTCATCTTATTTACTGTATTACATAATCAGTCTATTGGGAAGCAGGAAAGCAATAAATGACTTATAAACTGTTCATAGTTAAAAATTATAATTGTTAGTTGCAAATGAAATCATACGTTGTGATAATCATGCTTGTTAACTCAATTCTTTAATGAGATATTGTGGGTTTATTATAGCAAACTTATGTTTGTGGATTATCAATTACTAATCTGTATATATGTCTTCTTCATTTAAAGCCAGAAAATGTGCTGGTGGACCACAGCAAAGCCAAACCCCTCATCAAACTTGCTGATTTTGGGGATTCCATGCAGTTAACCACAACCTATTATGTTCACCACTTGCTAGGAAGCCCCGAGTTTGCAGCTCCAGAAATTATTTTAGGAAATTCTGCCTGTCTTACGTCAGATACATGGAGTGTTGGGGTACTTGCCTATGTCCTTCTTAGTGGTGTGTCTCCTTTTTTGGATGAGAGTGTAGAAGAAACATGTTTGAACATTTGCCGATTGGACTTCAGCTTCCCTGACGACTACTTCAGAGGAGTCAGTCAAGCTGCCAAAGATTTTGTTTGTTACTTACTGCAGGGAGATTCAAACAAACGTCCCTCAGCTGCAACGTGCCTTCAGGATTCTTGGCTGCAGCCGGGCATCAACAGAGTTGCTGAAACTCTAAACACGTCAAGATTGACTTCATTCATTGAACGGCGCAAACACCAGAATGATGTTCGGCCAGTTGGTAGTATAAAGAACTTCTTACAAAGTAAACTCTTGTCAAGAGTGTGACCCTCACCTGGAGATTAATTTGCTCATTCTCTTTCACCTGTCAATCAGGTTGGAGACACTGTCTTCAGCCATTCAGCTGTTGACTTGAAATACAACTGACTGCAAATCAGCTGCTTTATATGTGTCATTGTGTGGAATTGCATGCCAAGGAACTTTGTACAAACAGTACTTGGGATTCATTGCCACCCATCCAATGCAAAGTTGTTGGGGCAAACTGCACAAGCTCTGCACAACCAGCTGGATTCTCATTATTTTGACAGTATTTTGTTTCTGATCACAGGAAACCATTTTTCACATATTGCCTAGGAAAATTTAGAGAAGAATCATTGTTGTTATTGTATTTAAATAAACTCGCTGGACTTTGAAACATTTAATTATGTGATTAAAAATTAGCCAGCAAAGAACAAAAGTTTTTTTTGTTAAAATTCTTTCCTCCTCCACTGATTTTAATCAAGACAGTCACTGAAAATGATCTCCAGTGAAATGTCTGATTTTTACTGGTAATAAAGCTTTTCAGTTGCCTCACTGATGTATTTAAATTATAATACCTTGCATTTAGCCAGATGCAGCTCAAGTTTTTACTGCTACAAGCTGAACCATGGACCTTTTGCATCTAATAGAAACAAATGTGTTGCTCTAATTATATATAAGCCTTACTTGTATAAAAACCGTTATCTGCCTTCATTCTGTACTTTTAATGCTGGTATGCCATTCTGGAATCCACCCCCCCCAACACAAGTGAAGAGGCAAATGCTGTTTCATTTATGGAGGGTTTTTGGAGTCTCACCTGCCAATCTGATTGCAGAGCAGTTAAGGAGGAATATGTACTGTAAATGCACTCATTGTATTTTATGTTTTAATTCATATCATGTGCAATGTTGTGGCTTTAACATTTTATGCAACTCTATTTATGAAGACTTATGTTGTATCTGTAATAAATATTAAAAAAGGCACGTACTTTGTACTGCAAACTACACAGTCGTTTGATTTCTTTATCACACTGACACTTTTCAAAAGGATTTGACTACTAGGAATTGCATCCCAAGCCAGTCATTGTGGAATATACACAAAGAATGAACCAAACCCAGTATTTTTTAGCTATGCAGTATGTTCATATCAAACATAAACTAGTATTGTAGGGTCAAAAGAAATAAATCTGTAAGAGAAGGAAAATGGGAACTCAAAACTGGATGTATTGTCACATCAACTTCACTATTTTTTAATGTAATGCCTGTTAGTCTCTTTTTTAAGTTTGAAATCTGTTTGTGCATGTATGTTTCTTTTGTACAGCATCCATTGTTTCCCCAAATATGTGCTGTAAATATATTTTTCTGTTTATTAAAATTAAACTAATGCAACACAGTTTTATTTTATTGCATCAGTTTCAGTTTGTCTGCTCCTTGTAGTTCAGTAAAATGAAGGCTGTGGAAATGGAAAATAAATGAAATAAGCTGTACAACATCATAATTTTTAAAATGATTCTAAAAGGACAGACATTTGACTTGTCTCTGCCACCCACAACCCAGATAGAAGTGCTGGGTGTTCATAGTCATCTTAAACACCAAAATTGAGATCATTTGAGGAGCTGCCTTCCTCTCTTCTAGCCAAGTTAATCAAAAATCTTGTAAGATTCTGCTATCTTCCAGTCTGGACTCTCATCTTTCTGTAGTTTCTTTATCATCTCCTATAATGCTCAGTCTAAGCTCATTTGTCTACAAGACCTATTTTCTATTCATTTGTAGAGTTTTACAACACAGAAACAGATCCTTTGGTCCAATTCGTCCATGTCGATCAGATATCCTAAAATAAGTCCCATTTGCCAGCATTTGGCCGATATCCCTGTAAACCCTTTATATTCATGTACCCATCCAGATGCCTTTTGTACCAGCCACTATCACTTCCTCTGGCAACTCATTCCATACATTCATCATTTCTTCTGTGTGAAAAGTTGCCCCTTAGGTCCCTTTTATATCCTTCTCTTCTCAACTTAAACCTCTGCTATCTAGTTTTGGACTCCCTACCCTGGGGATAGGGTGAATAGCTATTCACCCTATCCATGCCCTCATGATTGTATAAACCTCTATAAGGTCATCCCTCAGCCTCTGACACTCCAGGGAAAATAGCCTCTACCTATAGTTCAAATCCTCCAACTCTGGCAACATCCTTGTAAGTCTTTATTCATTCACGGGATGAGGGCATTGCTGCTAGGCAGCATTTATTGCCCATCAGTTAAGAGTCAACCACATTGCTGTTGGTCTGGAGTCACATGTAGGCCAGACCAGGTAGGGATGACAGTTTCCTTCCCTAAAGGGCATTAGTGAACCAGATGGGTTTTCCCAGCAATCGATTCGTGGTCATCGTTGGACTCTTAGTTCCAAATATTTATTGAATTCAAATTCCACCATCTGCTGTGGTGGGATTCGAATCCAGGTCCCCAGAATGTTATCAGGGTCTCTGAATTGACAATACCACTAGGCCATTGCCTCCCCCTTCTGCACCTTTTCAAGTTTAACAACATCTTTTTCCTATTGCAGGGTGACCAGAATTGAATGCAGTATTCCAAAACTGGCCTAACCAATGTCCTGTACAGCCACAAGATGACATATCAACTCCTATACTCAATTCACTGACCAATAAAGGCAAGTGCACCGGGTCCTTTCTTCACTACCTTGTCTACCTGTGACTCCAACTTCAAGGAAATATGCACACCAAGGTCTCTTTGATTGGCAACACACACTAGGCCCCTACCATTACGTGTATAATTGCTGGCCTGTTTTGCCTTACCAAAATGCAACATCCCACATTTATCTAAATTAAACTCCATCTGCCACTCCTTGGCCCATTTGATCAAGGTCCTGTTGTACTTTGAGGTAATCTTATTCATGTCCACTACACTACCAATTTTGTTGTAATTTGCAGACTTACAAACCATTCCTCCCATTCACATCCAAATCATTTATATAAATGTCAAACGGCAGTGGACCCAGCACCGATCCTTGCGGCACACCACTGGTCACAGGCCTCCAGTCCAAGAAACAACCCTCCATCACCACCCTCTGTTTCCTACCCTCAAGCCAATTTTGTATCCAAATGGCGAGCTCTCTCTGGATTCCATGTGATCTAACCTTTCTAACCAGCCTACCATATGGAAACTTGTCAAGCACCTTGCTGAAGTCCATATAGACAACATCCACCATTCTGCCTTCATCAATCTTCTTTGTTACTTCTTCAAAAAACTCAAGCAAGTTAGTGAGACACAGTTACCCACACACAAATCCCTATTGACTATCCCTAATCAGTCCTTGCCTTTCCAAATACATGCAGATCCTGTCCCTCAGAATCCCCTGCAAAACACTTACCCACTACTGATGCCAGGCTCACCGGTCTGTAGTTCCCTGGCTTTTCCTTACTACCTTTCTTAAATAATAACACCACATTATGCACCCTCCTAATCCGATTGCTGCCAGACTGTTGGTTGTCCAACTTGCCTCCCCTGTTCCCGTATTAGCTGATATTCTGAATGGTTCCGTCAGATTTTCAGAAAGGATATTGTGGTATAGTGGGATCTGGATGATCTTGTACCTGAATCTCAACAGATTAGTTTACAGGTACAGCAAATCATAAGGAAGGCAAGTAGAATGTTGACTTTTACTGCAAAGTATTATAGGATCAAAGTAGGAAAGTATTGTTATGACACTCCAGGACATTGGTGAAACCACACAAGTGTACTAAATATATAGTTGCTTACCTAAAGAGGGATATATTTGCATTGATCACATTTCAGCCAAGGTTCACTTACTTGATTTCTGAGGTGAAGGGATTGTCTTAGGAAAGGTTGAGTATGTTGGGCCTTTACTCACTCAAGTTTAGGTGAATGAAAGATACTTTTACTAAAACACACACGATTCAGAGGGGTTTGGCAGGGTTGTTGCTGAGTGGATGTTTCTCCTTGTGGGCAAATCCTGATCAGGAAGCTCAGTTTCTAAGTACTTATAAGCGATCTAACATTCAAGATGGGGAGGAGAATTTATTCTGCCAAAAAGGTTGTTAATTTTTGGAATTCTGAACCTGAGCAATGTGGGCTTGGTCATTGAATATATTCAATGATGCGTTTGATAGATTTTTGACATATGAGGGAGTATGAAGGGTGGGGGCTTGTGAGGCAGACAAAAATGGAGTTAAAGACACAAATCAGCCATCATTTTATTGAATGGTGAGCAGACTTAAAGGGCTAAATGTCTTACTTGTGCTATTTCTATAACTTTTGTTAGTCTATTGTCTATCCATCCTTCAAACCCATCCCTCTTCACCAGCATCTCTGAAAAATCCTTCACTCTATCATTCTTGTAAACTACCACTGTGCTTCCAGCGTTCTTTCTCCAAAGTCCTTTTAATATGCTCTTACCTCAAATGCGGATATTTCTTAGAACTCCATGTTTCAGTCCCCCCATTCAGTCCCCAGCCACTGTACAAGAAAAACTGTGTAGTAAGTCACAAATTTCATTGTGACTGACACAGGTAAATGATACCTCTATACCCTTCTCTACTTACCTGCACTCTTTGACATGGTTGATCATACTATTATCTTCCATTACCTCACCACCAGTACCTAACTAGATGGGATAGCACTGGTTCCATTCCTATCTATACAGTCATAGCCAGAGAATTATATGCAAATAAATTCATAGCAGCAATTTCGACAGGTAGGTTCATGATTTCCAACCCCACCTCCCAACAACCTTTTCCACTGTCATTAAATTGTCAGAAATCACACAATACCAGGTTATAGTCCAATAAAAACACAAGCCTTTGGAGCCTCATTCCTCCTTCAGGTGTTAGTGAGAGAGGTGGTATCAGACACAGAATTTATAAGTAAAAGATCAAAGTGCCACACCACTGATAAGGATGTATTAACAAACTAAGATGTTGTTAAATCTTTAATCAGTTAGAAGGTTTTAATTGATTAATACATATTTATAAATCCCGAATTCCTTTCAAGTCACTGCCCTGAGAGAACTAAAGGTTTTATCAATGTAAAGAAAAGGTGACATTTTAGGTCAGACAATGCATGTTCGGTGTGAGGCCTTGTTTAGAATCTGTTTGTTTTGGCTTGGAGTCAGACTGGTTTTATTTCTAAAGTAGGAACCTGCAACTAGTGACAACCCACAGGGATCAGTGCTGGGACCACAGTAATTTATCATATATATTAACAATTTGGACAAGGAAAGTGAAATGTATTATAGCCATGTTTGCCAATGACAAAATTAAAATGATAATTAGGTTTTATTGTCATGTGTACTCACGCATACAGGAGTTCAGTGAAAAGTGTACAAAGCCGCCATTCCTGGGGCCATCACAGATATAAAGGGACAAGATCTTAGGTTCAAAGTAGAAAAATAAAGAAATGTTAAAAGTTCAACAATACAGTTTTTCTTAGTATAAGAGTAGAAAAATAGTTAAAAGTTCAGCATTCTAGTTCTTCCTACGCTATGGGGCTGCAAATGCTGCCCGCTGGGTTTTCCCCATAAGGATTTGCACCCCCCACAAGGGCCCAATCTTTTTCCCCATGGTGGGCATGCTCTCCTCCATGCTGGGCTCTATCTCTTCCCCCAACACTGGAATTGTTCTCCTCTGTGCTACCACCAGAGTCACATGTGCAGTTACCAGCTGCCTTGCCACTGACCGCTCCAGACCTCTCGACAATGCCATCAACAGCTAGTGTTCTGCCTGGCTTACTAGATGCCTCGTTGCCAAGTGCCAAAGTCCTGTTCCGGACCCCAGATACTGCCAAGCTCCGGTCCCCAATAGCGTCGCCTCCACGATTGGAGCTCTCTCCATAAGGTAAGTAAAAAAAACTAAGAAACTAAAAATAAGGAAAAAGTGAGAAATGGAAAAAAATGGACGGAGGGGATGAGCCCCATGCTCAGAGCCTACACTACTTACAAATTAAGCAGAAAGAGGGGGCTGATGGATT